ATCATGTGATATTGTATCAAATGCGTTGGCGTAGTCGACGAAGGCTAACATAACGGTCTGTTGAATTCCTTGTAGTTTTCCATTGTTTGTTGCATTACATGAATATTATCTATTGCTGAGAAACATGCTCGGGACCCCGCTTGTTCTATAGGTGGAAGATTTTCGATCTTGGTGCTGATTCTGCTTATCGAAATAGAGGTAAACGAAATTGAAATATAAATGAATTTGGAAACGAAGACCTGGTATAATCTGATTATGTATGGCCAAAAAAAAAACATTATAAAACCCGATATTATGTGGTTTTCAGTTAAACCATCCAAATACTCTGACTGAAATTGACACCATGCCATAGTGAAGAGGAATAAAAAATCTGGTACCTTATTATATCAAACAAAAGCTTATACATTATTCAGTAACAAACAAATGTTGAATATTATGTAAATATATTATAAGGAAAGGTTTCAAGAAGACTAGCATCTATACCCAAGAATTGCGTATTCTAAAGCTAAAATATGTAAATAAGAGCTCAAAATTTTATTAACTGTGAAAGACCTGTAAAGTATTTGGTATTTTCAATATTTATGTCCCAAGTAGGTACAGTGTTCCAGTCCGTGGTCACAACTGAACTTTTTTTTGTGAACTTGAAATTATATTATTCTGAAGACTGTATTTCTTAAACGTGTAATGTGTGTGGTGCGCCGCTTTAAGAGTTTTTGAAGTGAATATTATGTACCTAATTAGTTGTAACTGTCCGCTTAATTTGTACGAGTACCTACATACTTAATAAATTTGTACGCCGACTACAATAAAACGTGTTTTACTATACAAAACATTCTCCATGTGCATGACATTTGAAGTATGTAAAGTTGTTATTATTATTAACGCTCAAACGGCTGTATCAATTTTGATAAAATTTGGTATGAAGGTAGCTGACACCCTTGTTTAACCCAGGCTACTTATTATACCGAAAAATGAAGTGTTTCTGTGGGATGAGCGAGGAATTGAAATATATTTGCTACTCCTTTTTTAGTGTTACTAAAAAACTCCGTGTAACACTGCAGGTTGCAGCTAGAAATGTGTAGATAAATATCGGTTACTTTTGTTTTTCTAAATTTAAGCATATCTATAATTTGTTCTAAAAAAACCTCTCCAATTATTTTATTCTTGAGGTATGCGAAAACTGCCCAGAACCATTCTGAAGAAAAGTTCTTCTAGTCCTTCAAGTCTGATTCACAACCCAATTGTAAATTATTACTGAAATACTTCATTTTAATAGTTTGTTTTCTTTATTTGTATAAAATTTAACTTAAAATCTGATTTGATTGTACACTCGCTAATTTACACTAAGTATTATCAATCATATATCTATTTTCCGTTTGTTACTCAAATACTTTACTTTTGCAAATGAGTTCCAACCAATGTTGGATAAGATTTGTTGATGTTTGCCGTGTTCATAAATACCAGAGAGACACTTGTGTATCCTATGTTACTCGCTCATAATATGGCTTTCCATTAGTGAAAGAATTTTAAAATCGGTTTAGTGGTTTAGGCGTGAAAGGGTAATAAACTCACTTTCACATGTATAATATAAGTATGGATTGGAACCATAATGAAGGCATAACCGGTCGGTCAAAAATATTATGATATTATTATACTGATTGTAAAGAGTGTGAATTTGTATTTATTTCTAAATGATTACTGTCAGTTCTTTTCCATTCAAAGTAAAAATAAATTTAAATGAAGACATAGTTAAGAACAAAGCGTCAAGCGGTTGTCGACGAGGCTTGATATAATAGTCCAGTGAATTGTCCATCCAAACCCATCCAGATAAGATTTCTACTTTAAAAGAGTTTTTCCTTCTTTTTGACAATTAGAAGGATATGGACCCTTGAATTAAGAACATTTTAGCGGGAAATTATTTTCGATGTGTTTCGCGGTTTATTAATTTTTTTTAAGGATGTGCTTATATAAGCACATACCCTAAAATAAATAAACTTAAATGAACCGTGAATTACCGGAATATCCAACATCGATATGAGATACATGTCGGGATAAAAATGTAAAATAAGGAACTAACACTTTCGGAAGCCTACTTCAATCTAATTGTACGCTTAAATCTTTAGAAATACTTTTGGAAAAGTATTGGGTTTTCTTACTTCTACTTGCTTCCTACTATCCTGATATAAATTGGCCAGTAACGTAATCGACAGTAAGACATAGTAATTCGAAATTGAGCCGTATTACAACAACTGTCATCTCCTAATGGGATATAAACTAGACAACTACATTAAATTGTAGAGAGAGTAGAGTAAGTATTACAAATGTTTTTAAGAAATTATTGTACGCCATAATTTTTTTTCCCTTAACCTCCTTTCTAAGGAGAGGCCTATGTCCAGCAGTGGACTATTAAAGGCTGTTGATGATGATGATGAATTTTTTTTTCAAAGTGTTGTATGTATAATATATTATTCAATTGACTGTCTCGGTGATGCAGTGGTAGCGTATGCGACTGTTGAACTGAGGTCTCGGGTTCGATACCCGTGTCGGACCAAATGTTTGTATGATCTGCAAATATTTGTTTCGGAGTTTTGGGTGTTTTCTATGTATAATATGTATATGTTTACAAAAAAAAGTATATAAGTATTCTATCAATCAATCTAGCTTTTATAGTACAAGCTCTGCTTAGGTTCAAACTAAATGGCGTGGTGTGACAGATGTCCGAAAATATCATATATTATATTATAATTAGTTAAAATTTATTATATTATCTGATAACCTACAACCCTATATTTTCATACCAACTAACGGCGAAAAACGTTTTGTAGGATATTTTTATAACACTCTTTGTATTGTTTTATTTTTTTAATAGTTTTAATTTGCTTCATCAAATCACATGAATATCATCTGTAATACGCCTACATTAATTTGCTCGAAACAAAAAGGAAACAATATTTTGTGTAAAAATTAAGATCACCATAATAGAACATTAAATTTTAGTACCTATCTTTTTTGAAGTAAATAAAGAAAGCATAAAAACCATCGGCCGAAACCAAGTTATAGCCCATTCTGCTATACGTATTATTGGCACATTTCCGGGTTTTATCTTCAGTGCATAAAACGTGGTTCCGTTTTCTCCGTAGAACTTACAAGACCATAATAAAGATTCATACATTGCTCATAACATTTGTATAAGTCATTATAAATATGCATTCAATAAAATAAATTAAAATTATACGTGTAGTATACGTGTAATAAATATTACGATTTGAAGTTTTTACATGTATCCAAAATTAAATATCTTTCATATACGAGCAGTTCTAATTAGTTTAATTTTGAAGCAGACTATTTGTGTTTGATTGGAATACTATTTTTTTATAATATATTTGTTAAGAAGAACACTGATGAGCAGAGGTTATCGATGCCGAAACTAGTCTATTTACTTATCTATACTAATATTATAAAGCTGAAGAGTTGGTTTGTTTGTTTGAACGCGCTAATCTCAGGAACTACTGGTCGGATTTGAAAAATTCTTTCAGTGTTAGATAGCCCATTTATCGAGTAAGATTATAGGCTATATATCATCACGCTAAGAGCTCCTATTAGGAGCGGAGCACCAATGAAGAATGTTTCGAAAACGGAAAAAAATCATTACTATTGAGAGACGCAGACAAAGTTGCGCGGGTCAGCTAGTTTATTATCATTAAGGAGATCAATCCATTCATCAGATTTTTCGTTTTTCTAAACATTACATATGTGTGGAGAAGCGTGAAAAAAAACTAGAGTAAAGAGATATGCAATTAGAGGTGTTAGTAATCATTTCTTTAAATCTTCATTTCATTCGATAACACGCAGCTAAAAGGAAATATTAAGCGAGATATCGAGTCACCATAATACATAATATTGTATTAGAACGTATAGAAAGTGCCGCCGACGACTCCCTTGTGTCTCCTCGAAAAACCAGTAGCCTTATCTACACCATATTACAAGCCAAAAGTCTATTTTCTTTAAGTTCGAATTTAAAGAAAAATATAATTTTGGCTTGCATACAACTTTGCTGTATATTACGGTGTATACTAATTTAAAATATTAAAGTTACTGGTTCGAAATATTTTTTATTTTATTTTATTACATTAGAAGATATGACTGCTCGGTCGGCCTAGTAGTATTGTAAATGTGTAACATAACATGTGTGTAAATATTTTTAACTAACGTGGTACTATATATATTGTTGTATTGAGAATAAGGTTGATTCTTGTCTGTTTAATATGCCTTTTAGTTAGCGTATAAATAAAATGCGGGTGTAGTTCACAAGGTCTGTATTGCAACTGTTTGTGAGAAATAATCATAACAAAATGCAAACATGTAGATGATCTACATAATACATATCAGAACATATATATAAATACATTATGTATAGTATTTGAATAAACTTTTAGCTTTATAATATTAGTATAGGCGATAGGCAGTGAGTAATTATACAATAATATAAAATAATAATAATGTAACAACTCGAATGTTCTTTCTTCATTGATTGAAAGTTCGATTTATAAGACGATACATAAATTCGTTATTTTGTGTGTATAAAGTCCCCCGAGATTATATTGGATAGGCACTGATTACGATGCTTACAACTCATCATATTTATATGTATGTCACATATAAATATGATGAATTTTAAGCATCGATTTTTCGATTTCCACACAAAGGAAACAAAGTAAATTTAATTATTAGTTTTGCGGCAAAATCATAATCTTAAAATGCAACTGTGAAACTTGTAGCATATTAAATTAACGAGTAGCCGTAAATACTAAATGGATTTATTTTCACTTTCATTTAAATGTTATCATGGCCTTTTACAATAATATTTAATTTGCGGTCATCTCATCTAATTCTAATCAATATCAATCTGTCGATAAATTCTCAAGGAAATCAAGAAAATTGTACTAGTTTTTATGACATTTCTACCACACATACCTTAAAATTAATTTTATATTTAGTTAATGCCAGGCAACACTAAAATCATTTTAGTGTTCGGTTAGTGTTATAATTTAACCTAGTTCTGTTTTCTACCTAGTTAGAAATGCAGAAAAAAAGATAAAGTTTATAGTATCGTCCAGAAGCTCGTCTAAAAAAAGTATGTATTGCAGGCGCGCTGGAGAGCGGCGCGCTGGGCGGCGGCGGCGGCGGCGGCGCGCTCGGCGCGCTGCGTGCGGCCGGCTCGCCGCCCGCGCCCAGCCTCGGCGCCAGCCGGCACAGCCTCATAGGTGAGTACGTTTACAGCGGCTCAAAGTCGAGCAAAGGTGTAAAGTCCAGAAGACCTTGAATGGATAAGCCATTCTGTATGTCTTTTTTTTTGTTGACTCGTTCGAAAATACCTTCAGATCACAATATGTGATGTTTCCATTAAAAAGCCATCCCGAGCGGCGGCATAGCGCTTTAATTCGATGGCATAGTTTAACTAACCTGATTTCTAAGTTTTGTATCCTGATTAAATTGATGAGTTGTGTAGTGCGAGACAGGCGCGAACATAACAACGAAGGGGAGTCTGTGAGGGTAAGGGGGGCCCAAGTTGGAGGGTACTCGTAAATCTACGGTGTCTGGGTTGCCCTACCGTTTGATTAATATATTTTAATGGCATCCGTTTTACTCATCTGAAAAGCGTTATTTAGGCGGGATTTTCTTACGCGGCCTCGCTCATGTGTTGGGATGTAACGTGATGTGGTGTAATATGTATAGTCTTTTGAATAATATAATATAAAAAAGTACTTGTCTTGCTTGAGTACATGTAATTGTTGATTACATCAATCACATTGTGTTAACCACACACAGTGTCCTAACAACGAATAAGAAATGTCATTATCTCACAAAAAAAAAAATAACCAACTTAAGAAATGTCTACCCCCAATAAGAAATCTTCACTGATTAACCAAGTTTTTTGAAACCATTGAGTTGAATACGGTTGTCCTAATAAAAAAGAAATTGTATTTACATTAGGTATTGTAAATTATTCTAAGTATACTATTGGTTAATCCGGCAACTCCTGAGTACTATTATAATAGATAACATCGAATTATTCATGTAGCGTAAGAAATGACAAATAGAAAAGGCTCGCAAGTATTAACTAAAACGTTAGTACAATTAGTTAAATGTATTTATAAATTTTATTAAAACTTGTGAGCTCACGATCCTACTTCTGAGGCCTTGCAAATTTTGAGAGCTCTGACGCCCGTGCAATAATTTGATATTTTTTTGTATATTTACATGTTTTGGGTTAACTCACATGATTACAAAAATAGATGAAGAACCGTCTACCCCAAACCTTCGATGACGGACGGCGTGCATCACAGCATTCTCAACCAATCCTGTGATCTCGACCAGGGCAACCGGGTTAAATCTTCGGGAAGTCAAATTTTTGTGATATTTGACGGGCCTGTTGTTCTAGTGGTCAGTGGTCCTAACTGCTAAGCCGGAGGTCGTGGGTTCGATTCCCACCTAGGACAAATATTGTGTGATGAGCACTGTCATTTGTTCTGTGTCTGGGTGTAATTTTTCTATAATATGTATGTCTTCAAAAATATATAAGTATGTTTATCAGCAGTCTGGTTACCATAGTAAAGGCTCTGCCTAGTTTGGGATCAGACGGCCGTGTGTGAGATGTGTAATATCATGATATTTATTTATTAAGTAGCACATGGCATTATGTCTGATTTATTTGTATATTTTGGTGTAAATGAGTGGCTGATTATAGTGGAGTGATTATGTAAAATAAAATGATGACTAAATAAATCACAATCAAATCATGCTAAAGAAATAAGTTAAATATTAGTTATTTGTGCTACTGTGGAGGAACGGGTGTCACGTCCCTCCAACACAAAGGGAGGATCCTCCGACCAGGCGAGGTGATCATGCCTGGCGGGCCGCGGTCCCATGGTTGATGTTGGGAAATTGTATATATGCTAAACGGCGAGGGAATTCCTCATATCGCGATACAGGATTAGCAATTCTTATTTGGTAGTTACTCCGTAGTTCGGTGTGTCTTCATTAGATGGCGCTGTAGTATGTTTCTGTTTCTTTGTATGTGCGAGTCGTTACACTACTATGCAACATTTTTTGCAGTTTAATCTAAAACTTGCTAAGTAGCGTGTTTCAATAATATTGCACTGATTGAGAATTCTACGTCTAGACGCTTTTTAGTTATACAATTTAGTGATACAGAATAGTACATGAGACTCATGAGTCGTCCTTATTTAGGATAAGCATGGAATAAGGTCAAAAGTAACCTTTCGAAAAGATGCGTGAAAGCGTCGGGAGCCACATGTCAATTGTTGTAAAAATATTTTACATCTCTCATGTTCGGTAACTAGGTTCTTATTACCTCCAAATGGGGCTTGTAAGTGACTAATTAGCGCTCTAGGGTAATAATGTAGCTAGAAAAGCCTTTGGGCGGTAAGTAATTAAAAAAACACTTCTTTCTTTTAAAAAGTTCGCGTACATCTAACCATCATACTGGCAATAGACATCATGCATTCAGCCCAATGACCAAAGAGGTCGCTTTGCTATTCAGCCTTGTCTTCGTGTGAGTATAATAGACATCAATTTTAAATATCGAACGGCGAAGCTCAATTTCGATCTTGGAAAAAAACTTAAAAAGTTCTTTACTTGATTCTTGATGATCCGCAACCATCAAATTCTGCTGAAGAAAGCTTCATCCCGTCAGATTTTGTCCATGACCAACAAATATCACAATCTCAAACTATTAACGTACCCAAAAAAAATTGAAAATTGTTCTCATTTCAATATAAATTTCAACAAATAAAATGTTTTATTCTTGTAATGCCGGTTTTTTTTCTACTTACCTCACAATCGAGATGTAAAGCAGAATAGTTAGCTCGGGTGTAAGCATCAATTGCACCCTCGAACTATAGGCACCCTCGCTGCGCTCGTGCGCCTAAACATCTCGGGCTGCAATTGATGCCTTACAGCCCTTGGCTACTAATCTACTATTATTGACAGATATTGGTAAAAGTAAGGTTATTATATTATGACCTTGAAGTGCACCCCACGTTTTCTTACGATAAAATGATTTACACTACTTTGTGCCACTCTGTAGCTACAAAAGTGCGCCTTTTTAGTTTTGTAAAATATCAATCAATTTTTTTATTTTTTTAGTCGTTAATGATAATTATTATCTTATTAAAACTAAAACAGTAACGATTAGTTTTTCACATATGCTTCAGCACACGCCTTAGTACGTGGCAAAAGTCATTACCGTATTTGTAGGTATGGAAAAGCCGTTAATCCTGAAGATCCTGATCAGTATAATGAGACAAACTATTCAAATTATTACATTGTCATTGGTCCTTAATAATTAGTGTGCACAGTTTCAATTTAATTCGACGTTTTGAAGTACGTCAAAATCACGTTCGAAGATTCCATTACACACTAACTTACATACAAAGCTAATAAAAGCGTGTTAAAATACAGTTTTTTTAAGTTTGTTACAATTGTCTCTTAATTTTCTTTAAAAACTAGGTAACGGTAAGATGATAATATACACTCTATTACAAATTTTAGCAAAATAAAACGAGTTTCCTTTTGGAACCTTTAGGAAATTGAATTTCTGAAATAGGTAAATTAAAGTTATTCTCGTAGTAGCGAAACGGCAATAGATAAAACAAAATATACAACCTTTTGCTGGAGGAACCTTGCAACGAAAATGAAAGTACAGTATAAGAAAAAAAATATGGTTCTTCTATGTATATGAAGACTGAATTTAATAATTACTTTATTGAATATTTTATGATGAATATTCGGAATTTACTACAATTTACTACTAATAAACTTCAATTTAATACCATGTGGTTCAAATTAAAATTATTTATGATTCTAATTTCTTTTGTACATAGTTTTCTTCGTCTCTTTTAATTTCTTGTACCTATAGACTTCGTGCGGTTAATAAATAGCAGAGTGTAGTTAATAATTGAGCTGTCTAGCTTTGTAAAGTATGCTAGCTGTGTAGGTTTTTAAAGTATAGAGAAGAGGGGGGGGGGGGAGAAGTGGGGGGTGGGGGTGGGTATGGCAAAAAGGAGCTACAACTGTGCGTCGGTAATCTTCTTTATTACAGATGTACAGTTTTGTTCATGTGTGTGACAACAAAGTCCGGTGTCAGGTATTGCACTTTTTAAGGCTTGCTGTCAAATCCCTGAAAGTCAGTTAACGATGTAACAAACTAATGAGCCTTAACCAATAAATCCAAATAGTGGACTTTGTTTACAAAGAGATTTCACTGTGTGCGTTTATGTAGAAGGCTTTGAGCTCTTATCCTTTGCTTTTAAATCAGGGTGGTGTACAGTTTATATCGTGATCTTAGATCAAGCATGGAAGTTTTAAATTAACCACTTAAAAAAGTTAATTTCGCGAGCTCTGGCATAGTTACGTTTTCAAGCAATTGTCAATTGTGGAACACGACACCGCTTACATCAAATAAATGGAATCAGTGGAATGTATGAAATATTTTTTCGCTGGTATCGGCACTGTCAACTGATAATATTAAAGCTTATCAGTATTGTTGATAGTTTTACAAATTCACTGACAATTATCGCGTGTTTTCGCTTATGATGTCAAAGAGTATTTAAACATTGTACAATTCTGCAAATTGGCTTAATTTATAGTTCCTGAGAGGCGGCTTTCATTTTTTGCTTCAATTATTTAGTAGTACTAACCCCTGGAGAGTGCCTTTGAAAACGTCATCTACCTGTTCATTTCAAAGTATTCGAATTATGATATTCTATGCGATGGATTTTTTTGTCAGGTTTTTTTGCCAAGAGATATTGTTAAAAGGCACTCATTGAATTTTTAACTTACATTCTTGGTCAATATTTGCAGAATATTTTGCTTCAATGCCTTTGGTCAATATAATTAAAATGAATTCTAATACAAAAAGGCTCTGTTGATGGGTGAAATTCGATGTTATTGATCAAACTTCACCGACTTCAACCAGACTAGAAGGGACTATTGCTATTATAATGTAACCTGTTATATAGAGGCTACTTAGTATAGGTTTTGTACTGAGTTTAGACTGCTACTTAGTTTAGATTTGTATTTTTTAATTTTTAGTGCTCTTTGTCAGTATGGATTATTATGTTATTGTTATTATAAAGATACCTGTTATATTAAGGGTACTTATTATAGTTTTTTTACTTAGATTTTTAATTACATATTTTTGAATTTTTAGTGCTCTTTGTCACTATTGATTGAAGTTTGTTTAACTTTTTTTTTTAATGATTTATAATCACAAACAATCTAATGTTAGAAATATTTTAC